TGCTTCCTTCGGGTGGCATGGCAGCTAGGCACCGAAAGTGTTACAGCTGAACCATTTATATTTATTGCCCTACCATCACATGGCATGCGATCAACCAGTAACTATCGTCTTACGTCAGTGAACCCTTTCAAATACCGAACCAGATTGACAGTGACTCGCAACAAACAGCACTCGCACGCTCCAGAAAGTTTGTTTGGATCTGTATTGATGGTGTTCTCAAGCAGGTGTGATCCCTCTGAGCTGATGTGATAAAAAGGGTTGAAAGCAATTTTGCCGATAAACGAAAAATTATCGAGGCAAACGGTGGAGGGTGATCACAATCGGCCACGAATTTTTCAGATCTCTTCAACGGAAAAACACAAATTATGCAGACATTTCCCAAACACACACAGTTGAAGAATTTTCAGCTTCCTTCGCCACGTCATACGCTGTCCATATGTGGAACTGTGCTCAGTTCGATGGGCATCATGATGAGGTACGTAGAACGAGTCCTAGCCAACCATCAAAACATCCCCGGACGCACCTATTCATTACTCGCGAGATGTTGCTTCAGGAGGCGAGGGACGCTACGCAAGAGAGAGAGATGTTCAGCTGTAGCACCCTTTCGGTGCCTAGCTGCCATGCTACCCGGAGGAAGCATGAGGGCTGGGATACTGCCAGATCGCCCAGGCCTAGACAGAGGAAGTCGAGTGACAGAGGTCGGGTTCGAACCACGGATCTTCCGGTCAGTAAATTCGCGCTCTAACCACTTGGGCTATCTCGCCCCACAACAAGATATCTCGATTCCCAATTAGTTCATCAGTTTCTACGCGGTTATATCACCAGTAAGCAGTACAGTCACATACTTACTGTTCCAAAAAACTGGGAGTAGCTCCACATTGTAAGCAGCGAAGCCAACAAACTGTTTGTATAATAGATCATCCACGGCAAAGTTCAGTAGGAATGTAGATGCGCGGCAACCTTGCCGAACTTCACTAAAAAAGAATGGCTGCGATTTGTCACCATAAGCTCGGAATTTAGCGAGTGTGCTGTGATGCAAGGCTTTAAAAACATGGCCACATATTTGTCAGGCATTCCAACGCTTGACAAACGTCCCTATAACCTCGTTGGATCATTGGATTCGAAGGCTGTACGCATATCCCGATAAATCACTATGGTTGGCTGCTGATGCACATGGTGGTGTTCTGGAATCGGATAATAATAATAATAATAATAATAATAATAATCGTTCAGCTGTAACCCCCTTTCGGTGCCTAGCTGCCATGCTACCCCAAGGAAGCACGGGGGCTGGGATACTGCCAGGTTTCCAAAACCTAGGCGGGGGAAGTCGAGAGGCAGAGGTCGCGTTCGAACCATGGACCTCCCAGTCAGCAAATTCGCGCTCGAACCACTTGGGCCATCTCGCTTTCTGACACCGGATTAGCAGAAACTTATGAACTGCCGTAGGACTGGGAAATTTCTTCAGGCTTAGCTGAATAACAGTCAATTTTGCACGACCACCGAACCACAGCAACACTTACCGTTAACAGCGAATGACCGGAGTCAAGAGGAGCTGACCCGTAAGATCAACAGTTTAGGATATCAGTTGGGTTGGCGAAGGAGAGTGCCCACGTCCCGAACACCGGAAAGTTGTACTAGTAATGAATAGACCATGTTCTGAATATAAGCTAAGAAACCTGTCTCCGATGTCAGATAAGAAAGTAGAATGAAATCCGACCTAAGCAAGCGTCTAGAAACTCTAAATATCCTACTGAAGTCATGGTTTCCTGGCGACGGCATTCGGCAGAGCAGACCGTGCACAAGTCTACAGAACTCATCTTTTGTTGTTCCAGAGTTGCACTGACATCCGGCGGCGAGTCACTCAAAGTAACCGAACATCAAGTCGATTGGACGGATGTGTGGGGAGGCGGTTACGGAGCGAATGGGGGCATGCACTGATTGGCCGGAATGTTAACCAATAAGGATTGGGCGTTTATGGCTCTGCGCTTCTCGCTCCCTAACGAAGATTCTTTCGGATTCTTGGTGAACATGCCGTGATAACTTTATAACTACAGCTGTAATACATCTGCGTTGTCTCCATGAACGACTATATCAAAATCCCGTGCGTTTTCACATGCCATAGTGGGCGGAACAGGAAGCCAAGGGCTGACAACTGGATTGCACTACCGTCCACAAGACAATAACTAACTGCCACAACTGACTAGGTCCGTATACACAACTATAGTACGATTGGCGCGTCGCGTTCTATCTACTTGACATGACTCACCCAGTCTAAAAGCACACAATCGACCGTTGATTGAAGTTGAGTCTCAGCACTCTCACCCAAAACAATACAAACACCTCCTTGACTTGTCGATGTGGCTACGAGTTCTCCGGAAAAAGCAGCTGCATAGTGAAGATGCACAGTGAAGACATGCTTCTGAGCGAACTCGTACGTCTGTTTTAGGTGTCTCTAAAAATTCTGCTAAACCAGTTTGTTGGTCAATGTGTTCAAACGTTATACACCATTCGCGTCGCGTGCCTGTTGCGGCCTACTGAAATACCGGGAGCGGTGAAATCCGTCGGTCCTGTGATAAGCCCAGCATGATAGAGCTGATCATGCGCCTTAGACCCGACTGACTGGTCGATGACTGACCTTGTTATGGTGCTGTAATGGGATATTTGCAGACATCCACAAAAAAACTAGTGGGCCGAGCCAGAACGGTCTGTTAGTGGCCACCAGTTAGAACACAGATAGCGTCCCAAGGAGGCCATCTTTCCACCCATAACCCGAGGAGGCGTTCAGAGTACCTCATCTCCCCAGGTACCAGTGTAACGGTGATACTACTTATGGGGAGGCACGCGAGTAGTATGTGTTGTTCATGGAATTTCGCTTTGCGTCTCTTGAAAAGGAAAGATCTGTTGCGGAATTTGTGGAGTCACCTTGTAACATTTGCTTGGATCTCAGCGATGAATGATTGGAGTCAACGAATATCTAGGAAAGTTAAAAAAAGAAGCGTTCAAGAGAAGATNCCAGTTTTTGTAAATAGGATGCAAATGAGAATTTTGCTTCCCTGTCTAATAGACTGTAACTGGTCAGTTGGCATTTTCTAATAAATAAGTCCGCAGCAGGGGCCTTCTTCCTTTCACCAGACAGAAAAAGATCGGCAGTGTCTTTAGTGACTGTCGCCAGATGCAAAGTACCCGTTCAAGGACGAAGGTTGATGCTGAAAGGGGCCATTTAGATGCGTCTGAGAAAAAGAACGCCTCGAACGGGTCATGAATCGTTCCAGCTTAGATGAGTTTCAGCAAATGCATTCGAACCACAGTACCAGGGGCTTGGGACACGAGTAGTTACTTCAGACAGAGCTAGATCCACGGCGATGTACACGCACGGTTTATCACTGAATATAAACTATCCTTGACAACTACACTGATTTGCATATCGACTGGGTTTTCACGGAAGACTCTAATGAATCTATAGTTTATGATATCCTTCAACTGAATGTGCTGCACACAGGCCGCCTCATGCTTCAGTTGGTACGTAGCACGGTCTACTGTAAAACTCCACGGGGTGCTTGGGTCCACTTCAGACCACTGTGAGGATACTCCGAATCACGGAATGGAACAAGGACATTGGCGTCTTCATTATTTGGGCATTCCGACTGTTTCTGCTGTCCCGCTGTTTGTCGCAGTTCTTGTGCATTCGTGTTTTGTATCGAATGTGTGTAGCCCAAGAGCTGCATAAGAGCAGAGCACAACGAAACACTACTGCCATCGTTCCAACACTCACAGTGGTCCGACGGGAGACCAAATTGTGCATTGCCTGGGATTAAGTTATCATATCCATGGTAGTTAAGAGCCACTTTTCACTAGTGCTGTATAGCAGTGTATGGTGACGATACTCAGGTCCAGGTGCATAAGTGCACAGGCACGGGTGGTACACCTTCGACACACCGTGCGCCACACAATTCGTGAGAAAATGTTCTGAAAAAGCGGCAGTAAGTCCTGGTAATCTTACCACGAATCCCGCTACCAACGGGGGAAAACGAATGAGTTATGGTAGTCTTCCTACGGAATGAATCTGGCTCATTGTAGCGGGACAAGCGCTTAGCTTGGTGGGGAAGACGGGAGTACCCCCAGTTCGTATCTATCTATTTGGTTAACCCAAATTCCCCTGAATTGGTACGCTGACTGGTACGGAAGCAAGCCTGACATGCATACCACCTATGGTTGTGGAAATGAGAGCAGAATCAAGATCCGAATGAAAAAGTTGCTTTTTCCGGTTCAAAATGAACCTCGATGACATGGGTCACACATGTCCGGTAATCTCGACTTGGTGCGATGCTGGTGCCAGTAAGGGGCAGACGGTACCAGAGGATTGTGGGATCGTTGGACATCCGTTTAGCCTGTCGTTTCCTCGTGTGCAACAACAGCAGCAGCAGTTCCTATAGAGGTGCGCCGGTCTTTTGTGCAGTGACATTCAGTTGGAGGTGTCCTTCACCTCACGGGACCAGAATGTGAGCTTTCTTCAGGCAAGCCTTGAAATTTCGCTTACAAGACAGGATTGGCACGTGGGCGCGAAGAGGTATACAGATTTGGTGAGAACGTTTACGGGTAGGGTAACTCGAGATAGCTCTGTGGTCGAGGCGCGAACTTACTGACAAGAAGGCTCGTAGTTCGAACCCAACCCCGGGGTCTCGACTGCTGGTAGTATCTGGGCGTGGCATGGCAGCTAGGCATCAGAGAAGGGTCGCCGCTGAAGGATTCGTTTTATAAGCATAGCCTAAATTCTCCTTATGGCCCGATGAATGGTACAGTATGAAACTTGACAACTTGAACAAGCTCATCTCAAAAGGAAAATTTACTCTCATTTGAGAATATCAAACCAATGACTACCTATGGTTTGTGTCAACGATTCCTGAGAAGAAAACTGGGGATAACATGTCGGTGAAGGAGGAGGACAAAAATCTAGAAACTAATCACACTTATCAGTTGTCCAAGAGTGTGTGGTTGATGAATCAGTGACTCTGTTGCCGAGCGCGACCCACCAGTCTCACACACGATGGGTCTGGGAAACGAACCAGGCCTACTGGGACGCTAAATGAACAGTGGGCGCACTGCGATGTCTCGAAGGATCGTCTAGCCAAGCACTATGGTTGTAGTTCGAGAAGAGGCGAATCCCGAACAACTAAGTTACCGAGGGGCTCGAAGAGGACCTCGAGGCTTCGAAGATAAAGAGCCGTTCAAATTTGGGTTACGGTTTTCATACGCATCCAGCACTTACATATGGGTTTTTCAGGCTCTATACACAGAAATATAAGCCCCTGATTGCGTGAAAGTCATAGACAGCAAAACGTCAAGTCAAAATAATGTTTTCTGGGGTCACGGAAGGAATAACGTGATGTTTGGTTACGATAAAAATAACGTACCGGAGGCCCATACTTGTTTTGTGTTGAGCTATTTTATAGGAAAAAGTGAAGGTTGTTGTTTACTTTGAAACGGGCTTAGTTGCACACTTAGATCGGAGTGGTCTCATTGACATTTTGCACCCGTTCAATATTCCACGTGTTTTTTCTAGAGTCGGTTGATCATTTAGAGGCTGATCCGTTCAAAACGTTCTTACAAAAGTTCCGTCACAACTGGTGACAAAAGCATAACCAAACTTGCGCTTATATCATTTAAGAGTATTTGAAACCCCTTGATGTGATTGGCTGATTGAGAAGCAGCTTCATCGTAATTTTATTGGCCCGTTTACGAGCTACCCGAGCAACCAATATTTCGATAGATTTTCTGGTTTCGATAAAGCTGAAAAATCCAAGTGAATTGAATGAACGTTTGAAGACGTTTCTAGTTTGGTGGAGGGTCAAGAAGAACCGAAAAATCGGCGCAATATGTAAATAAAATAGCACACGAGAGAGAGGAGCACTTACCTCGGTACATCCCGAAAAAGCCTTCCGCCCGGTAGGTTTTACTCGCACAGTCCAGACTGTGGTGTAGAAAGAGAATGCGTGTCACACAGGGGACTAGTCGTGTAGCACGGACAAAAACAGTGAGAGAGAGAGAGAGAATAGTGACTACAAAGTAAGCTCTTTTCCGGGCCACACATATACATTATCCAAGAGTTCATCCGTTCAGACATGATCATTCCGGCAAAATGCTGAATGTGAACGAGGACTTCTAACAAAGTGGCTACATGAAACTATTGCTTGGAAGTTTGATAGGCGCCGTTAAATCTCAGGGAGTGCTGACGACTACCTTAAAGCCTCAGAGTGACTTGAAGTGGACAGCTGGGAGACTGATCTGACCTGTTCATTCCAACTTTTGTGTCGTAATATTCTGTGCGAGAGCTAATCACACTGCTGATCAACCGCCGAACGAGTAAGCGTGCAACCATTGGCTGGATGACTGCGGGTTCGAAGCTCTGAGTTTCGTGAGCTGTGCACTGCTGGTGATTACCAACGGGGATGAGATGACTTTCAATAAAGACTCGTTTCACAGACAGAACAAAATCTCAATTGAAAGTTACCGAATCTTACATCACCATTAAAAACCGATTACCCTATTTTACAGTTACCGGGGGCGAGATGTCTCAAGTGGTTAGAGCGTGAATTTACTGGCCAGAAGGTCCGTGGTTCGAACCCGACCTCTGTTTCTCGACTGGTGGTATCCCAGCCCTCATGCTTCCTTCGGGTTGCATGGCAGCTAGGCAACGAAAGGGTGTTACAGCTGGACGATTTTTTCACTTTTACAGTTATCACGCTTGAAATGTGTTAATATAATCTGAGCAGTGAGAGAACAATCAGAAAAAAATTCTCGGAGGATTTGGCGAACAATTTGTGGAAAAGAAAAAAGCAACCGCCGTTATGTCCAGTTCAGTTTACCGGATGACCGGGCAGCGCCATGGTGGAAGAGGTTCAAGTTATACGATATCTTACCAATCCTACCCGCTACCAGTCAGAATTTCCTTTCATTTTATCTATCACGGCGTGTTAATCGACTTTCGTCACCAAAGTTCACGCTAGTTGGCCTCAAATGTTTGATGAACACCGCTATCACCGGCCAATACGATCCACACGTTGCACCTGCGCACCGATGAAAGGTGAGCAAGTTTACATACAATCGTCTAGCAGCTTCCTAAGTTATACTCTAACGTGTCAATTACATAAATTGATTGAAATTTTAACCAGCTCTCGAGTGACCAAATTCTGGTCGGCTGCATATACTGATATACTCACGACCCTGGCAATGGCGCAGCGGATGCGTACAACGTCGCCATCAGAGGTCATCTGCATGACAAGATTAAAGTGACAAGAAAAACAGTAATTCACGTTTTCCTATGCCCCCTAAAAAAGGGGACTGTAAGCGAATCAGATGAAATTTATTGCGATTTCGCCTGCCAATTACTCTTTTTTTTCTCAGAATATCTTGATTTCTACCGAGAGCACGAACACTTAGGTATGGCATGGTATCTGAGAGGCCGATAGAACACACCGTTGAACTCAATCCAGCCTTCGAGATCTATACGGTCATGGGAAACTGATGCTCCTTGTAGATAACGCATAAAATTCTAAAATCGTTCAGCTGTTATACCTCTTCGGTGTCTAGCTGTCGTGCCGGGGACGAGATTGCCCAAGTGGTTAAAGCGCGAATTTACTGGCCAGTAGGTCCATGGTTCGAACCCGACTTCTGTCTCTCGACTTCCCCTGTCTAGGCTTGGGCAACCTGGCGGTATCCCAGCCCTCATGCTTCTTTCGGGTAGCATGGCGGCTAGGCACCGAAAGGGTGTTACAGCTGAACGGACGAAGCTGCCATGCTGCCCACAAGAATCAACAGGGTTGGCCAGGTCATGCCACTTCATGGTGCTGGATGTTTTCCGCCACCGTAGTAGCTTCCGTACAACCGTTACGAATTCGTCGACGTCATCCGGTACTAGTAACTCTCATGAGACTCCACGTGTTACAAACCTGAAGACCATACAGATCATCTGCGCCCAGAAGTCAAGTCTGGCAATAACAGTAATGTATCCCGGTGACTACTGAGACCCAATGATATGTCCTTCCCAGGCCATTAATGACGCCAATTAAAGGGTGTGATTCCCACCAGAGTTCACGCAACTGCTAACATGTGCAAAACGCTCCGCAAGCCTCAGGGCTTCCTCTTTAGCTGAAAAGGGAATGCATTTTCACGAATTGGCATTGTGAGACTTGATTTTGGACTACGTAGAAGCAGAGACCCATAAACGACTGGAGTGTGAAGCTTTTAACGCAATCCTGTTTCGGGAGACGTCAGCAGCAGTTTCTATTAATAAGAACATACCGGTAATCGATAGGAAACATTTCTTCCCGCGGAAATCACTGTACCTCTCAGATGGCCCCTAATTCTCTGTCTTGCTGGCTGACTGTACTTCATTGACTTTTCTGGCCAATGGACCTTGGTGAGCCACTGAGGCTCACCGGGTCATGGCCGCATCCAAGCCCAACGACCAGGCTGAGATGGCAACCCCGATCGAGACACATAGGACTTGATAAGATATAGCCTTTTATCTTATAAATAAAGTACGTTTGAAGCGTGTTTCTCACCCAAAAACATAACAAAGATCAAAAACTTACAAATTTTTGTACATTCGCGATCCCTCTTGCTGATTCTGAAGCCTAGTTTTGACCAAATCTATCGGGAACACACAAGTAACACCGACGATGCCAGCTATTCCGCCATTGACAACCTTTGGAATGAAACTGAAAACAACTGATGAGAAGTCACAAGAAACCGTACGAAAAATGCGTGTCAGCAAGGTCTTTAAAAGACATTGTATATTCGACGCGGCGCTTCAAGATGTCTGAACGAGTTAAGAACCGATGAGACGGCGGAACTTGTGCGCTTTAAACTCGTCCAGAAGAAGTGAAGAATCCAGTGTCGTCACGCAGTCCAGAAAAGTTTCGACGGGAATGGCTGTCCGCAGTCAAGTCCGGGCAATAGCCTGCAAGCAAGAAGGAATTCCGTAGCGAATAAAGTGGTACAGAATAGTGATAAGAGAATGCTGATCTAATCAGTTAAATGGGAAACACGGAACAGAAGAAGCGCATGCCACATTTTGCCCAGGTCGTGGGTGGCGGCCCATCGGGCGAGATGGCCCAAGTGGTAAGAGCGCGAATTTACTGACTGGAAGGTCCGTGGTTCGAATCCGACCTCTGCCTCTCGACTTCCCCTGTCTAGGCTTAGACAACCTGGCAGTATCCCAGCCCTCTTGCTTCCTTCGGGTGGCATGGCAGCTAGGCACCGAAAGTGTTACAGCTGAACTATTTATATTTATTGCTCTACCATCACATGGCATGCGATCAACCAGTAACTATCATCTGACGTCAGTGGAACCTTTCCAACACCGAACCAGATTGACAGTGACTAGCAACATACAACACTCGCAAGCCCTAGAAAGTTCGTGGATTTGTATTGATGGTGTTCTCAAGCAGTTGTGATCCTTCTGAGCTGGTGTGATAAAAAGGGTTGAAAGCAACGATCCACAGAGACAAACCCTCAGTTCATCAGAAACTGTACTAGCTAGTGGAGTGGAGTGGAGTGGTGGACAGGTTGCCTGCCTCCAATTTGAGCAACCGTATTCGGTGGTTGACGGATCAGATACTGACTGGAGATCAACATATGGGGCGAGATGGCCCAAGTGGTAAGAGCGCGAATTTACTGACTGGAAGGTCCGTGGTTCGAATCCGACCTCTGCCTCTCGACTTCCCCTGTCTAGGCTTAGACAACCTGGCAGTATCCCAGCCCTCTTGCTTCCTTCGGGTGGCATGGCAGCTAGGCACCGAAAGGGTGCTACAGCTGAACGCTTTCTTTTCTCAACATATAAAGCTTCAATTGTTTCCAATCCATCCAGCTTCTGGATGATTTCATCGAGAAGAGAGTTTACCAAACAAGTCTCCTGGTTCGAATAAACGAACTGCTCCTTTGATAGCAATTCGTATTCTGCTGTGCTATGTGAAGTCATCCTGGGTGATTTTCTCAAGATGACTAAAATGGCTGTCATACCGTAGTGGAATATCGCTTGCCCAATTCCACCCTCCCAATAGGATGGCATTCGAAAGTACCTTGTGAAAGTGGAACACTTAGGATGGAGGCCCTGTAAGGTGTAACCAGTGACGACGCTCCCTTATGTTCTTTTCGTTGATCCTGCGAGATGTATCAGTGTTTAGGGCGCAAATTTACTGACCAGAAGGTCCAGGGTTCGAACCCGACCTCTGCCTCTCGAGTTGCCCAACCTGGCAGTATCCCAGCCCTCTTGCTTCCTTCGGGTGGCATGGCAGCTAGGCACCGAAAGGGTGCTACAGCTGAACGCTTTCTTTTCTCAACATATAAAGCTTCAATTGTTTCCAATCCATCCAGCTTCTGGATGATTTCATCGAGAAGAGAGTTTACCAAACAAGTCTCCTGGTTCGAATAAACGAACTGCTCCTTTGATAGCAATTCGTATTCTGCTGTGCTATGTGAAGTCATCCTGGGTGATTTTCTCAAGATGACTAAAATGGCTGTCATACCGTAGTGGAATATCGCTTGCCCAATTCCACCCTCCCAATAGGATGGCATTTAAAAGTACCTTGTGAAAGTGGAGCACTTAGGATGGAGGCCCTGTAAGGTGTAACCAGTGACGACGCTCCCTTATGTTCTTTTCGTTGATCCTGCGAGATGTATCAGTGTTTAGGGCGCAAATTTACTGACCAGAAGGTCCAGGGTTCGAACCCGACCTCTGCCTCTCGAGTTGCCCTGTCGGCCGAAACTGTGGCTGCTGGAACCAACGTACTCACGGCTTGTAGATGATAAACTGAAGTGGGTGATTACATCGAATTGAGGCGCCATCACCACCCGTCGTCACCCGAAGGCCTGACCAGGCATATGTCCAGTGCACAATCGCAGGCTAATTCCAGCCGGGCAGTTCGATCAGGGAACGACAGCATGCGCGCCACTGGAATCGACTGCGTGCTATGTTCAGTAAGCTTTCCAGCCGTATGCACGCAGAGTTATTTGGGCCTCAACCGGGGAGCCATAAGGATTCCATAGCACTCAGTTTGACTGCAGCCGCTTTCATTTCACGTTGTCATGCTAAGACCTATTCTCCACTAACCTTTCACTTGAAACAGAAAACAACGATTTCTTTGGTAGGTAGTGGCTGAACATGGGTAATACATGCCCCAAAAAACTCAACTTGTTGTCGAGATTTTGGGTTCGAACCATAGACATTCCGGTCAGCAAGCTCACGCCTTAATACAATCAATTCAATTCATCAGTTGTAAACTGTATGCCATAGGTACATTGGTTCCAGCTGCTACAGTTTCGATCACCGGAAAACTGGAAGGTGGAATACAAAACCAAGCCTTGGAGGCGAAGGCATACTCAGTTTGTTCGGAAATCGAGTAGCTACACATTGAAGGAGATAGCTTTGATGCACGAGCGCCACTGACTGCGCGATTATACCATTTCTGTCAATGTCATTAACCACTGGTGATTTGAGTCCCGGGGTCCCCATCCAGGGTTCCCAGACTCAGTTTACAGGTTAGTGCTTTCGTACTTTGTTGTCAGATCATAAATTGTCCACTTAGCACAGGGCTGGGCGAAAAGAGATCTGAGAGGCAGACGATCTTCTGGCATGAGGAGTACATGACCCAACCAGCGCAGCCCACGAAGCGTGAATGATTCGTCCATCGCGAGAGTTCCTTCTTCCTAAGACCATTTGGCGTACCTCAGAATTACTAATGCGATGTTCCCACCAGACCAGAACAATGCTTCGGAGGCACCGATAATCAAACACTGACATCATCCGTATGTCCTCTACGCGTAGGGGCCACGTCTCTGATCCATAAGCAGTATGGATCGCATTATCGTGGTGTAAACCCTGCCCTTGACAGACAAACTCAAGTCACATCGGCGCCATAGGTGTAGGAGGTTGGCAAAAGCTGTCCTGGCCATTCCAATTCGAAAAATAATCTCACCTCCAGCCAGTCCACCGGGAATTATAAAGCTGCTTTGGTAAACAAACTTATCTACCACATCGATTGGCTCACCTGCAAGCATGAAGTGCGCGTTTGATCCCATCCAGTCTTCTAGCAGCACTTTACACTTTGCAGGTGTGAGGCGCATACCAAACCGTGCGTCAGAGCTGTCTAGGTTATTTAAAATCACTTGCATCTGGGAAGGATTTGAACCAAAGAGAGCAATATCGTCCGCATACTCAATGTCCGTGAGAGAACGTCCCGGGAGCATTTCGACTCCCGAGGTTTCACGGGCAGGCAGAGAAATTTCAAGCAGTATATCAATAACAAATTTGAAGAAGGGGAGAGAAGACAGCCTTGTCTTACGCCACTGGATGTGGTGAACTCAGGCGAGAGCTCCCCGTATACTCGCACGCGCCCACAGGAGCTCGCATACAGTGCCCTCATAAGGAAAAGAAATTTGGAAGGGATACCGTTGATCACCAGACACTCCCAAAGTTGCTGACGATCGACAGAATCAAAACCAGCTTTCAAATCAAGAAAGACGACCAACGTGGGACATCTGAAGAAGTAAGGCTGTTCAAGAATTTGTCTCAAGCTAAAGATATGGTCAATGCATCCTCAACCAGGGCGAAACCCACCTTGATTCTCACGAATCTGTCGCTCCCGATAATCCAACAATCTGCGCAAAATAATCCCAGAGAGCACCTTAGATGCGACGGATAGCAAGCTGATGCCACGATGGTTTTTGTATGACATTCTTGTTCCCTTTTTTAAAACTGAGACGACGGTCGAGGAGCACCATTCAGCTAGTATTCTGTTTTCGTTCCAAATCTCCTGTAAGATGGCGGTTAGACTGTTCACCAGGACCTCGCCACATTCTTTGAAGAGCGCGGGCTGTAGACCACCCGGGACAGGTGCCTTGTCGCGCTTCAGGATTGAAATCTCGCGTTGAATTTCGGTTGCTGATGGTGGGTTGGTGTCAATGTTCCATTTGGGTCCGCTTGGTTCATACAGCGGTTGTGCTGAAGGAGACCAGTAAACTGTTCTTGGAAGTGCTAAGCCCACTGCTCAAGACGGCGATTAAGGAAGTCTTTTTCTAATATTGTCTCACTGGCGCCTGCCTTCTTTTGACCTGCTGATCAGATCAGTTGAAACAGGGCGTGGCTGTTGTCTGCAGCCAAAGCCTTCTCCATCTCCTGGGCCTTCGAATTCCACCAGCATCCTCTGTCATTCTTCAAGGTGACAGCATTGCTTCTTTAACTCGCCTCCGTTTATCCTCGAAGGAATCTTGGTCATCCACGTGACTGTGCGTTTTCAGTAGCTTTCTAGCCAGATCAGCTCGATACTCTTCAGCTACTGAAACTTGTCGAAGTTGATGAACGGAGCTGCTCCCTTTCGGCACGCGTAGTGCTGGCGCAAAGCGAAGTGCTAAGCGGACCCACACGATGGTGTGATCAGAGTCCAGTTGCGTACCCCAGAAGGAACGACAATCCTTAACTGAGGCTCTCCATCGATAACTGATAGCCATATGGTCCAATTGAGTCCACGATTGTCTTGTGGTAGGTGACTTTCAAGTGACTCGTTGTGTGCGTCGTGTTGGAAGTTCGTACTGGCCAGGAACAGACGATGATCTGTACACAAATGAAGAAGCCGCTCTCCGTTATCGTATGCTCAAGCATCGACTCCAAATCGACCACCTAACTGTGCTTCTTCCGGACTTAGTCGTCACACTTGGGCATTCATATCACCGGCCAGGATTACTATTACCATCCTTTTTGCCGACCGAAGCAGTCGTGACAGATCTTGAGAAAACTCGCCCTTCTCAGTCTCGGAAGAAACACCGTTTACCGCATCGACCTGCGTTAATCCAGAAGGAACGACAATCCTTAACTGAGGCTCTCCATCGATAACTGATAGCCATATGGTCCAATTGAGTCCACGATTGTCTTGTGGTAGGTGACTTTCAAGTGACTCGTTGTGTGCGTCGTGTTGGAAGTTCGTACTGGCCAGGAACAGACGATGATCTGTACACAAATGAAGAAGCCGCTCTCCGTTATCCGTATGCTCAGCATCGACTCCAAATCGACCACCTAACTGTGCTTCTTCCGGACTTAGTCGTCACACTTGGGCATTCATATCACCGGCCAGGATTACTATTACCATCCTTTTTGCCGACCGAAGCAGTCGTGACAGATCTTGAGAAAACTCGCCCTTCTCAGTCTCGGAAGAAACACCGTTTACCGCATCGACCTGCGTTAATCATAATTGAACCAGATAACCGCACAGCACAAAGGCGACTGTTTACTGGGATCCAGTCCAGTAAGGCGCTTTCGGC